CCTGCATTGAATTTATTTGAAGAGAAATGTGTAATAATCATGGACAACGCTCCATATCATTCAGAGCAGAAGGATAAACCACCTTCATTCTCTTCAAAGAAAGACAAAATGCAGGAATGGTTGGTTAAACATAACGTAGACTTCGACACAAAAATGACCAAAAAATAACTATGGGCCCTTACTCAACCATTTCGGTATAGACCAAAACAATACAAAATTGACGACATTTTGAAAAGCCACGGACACGAAGTTCTTAGGTTACCTCCTTTTCATTGCCAATATAATCCTATTGAAATGGCATGGGGGTTTTGTAAGAATTTCTATAATAAAACTATAACTTCGCAGCCACCATCCAGGGATAGGGTTGCGAGGGTATGGCGTGAGTCTCTTTCAAAATGTACCCCAGACATGTGGACGAATTTTTGTAGACATTGTGACAGACTTATTTCAGAAGACTGGACAAAATACATGAGAGACTTACCTTTCAAAAATATTCCTCCTTTCATTATTTCTCTTGGAGAATCCGATTCCGAATCGGATTCAGAAATGTTGTCTGAATCTGAGGAGGTATCTAATTCTTCAAGTGAAATGGTGGAAGCTGAATAAGACGGACTAAAAACGGATCTGAATTTGAACTATTACTTTGACAAAACTATAAGGGGAGGGTGGATAAGATCGGGACTCTGGGAGACAATGGACACGCTAATATTTCCCGCCTCTTGCGGCTTTCTGATCTATCACGCCAAGGTGCCAACAGTATCTCCAAAATGGTCAACCGGCACAGATCAGATTGTTTTTGTGAAATATTTTTTTTTTTTGAAAAAGCTTTTCATGGGAATTTTGTATTTTTGGCATTGTTGATCTAATATTTCAAAGAAGCGAGGTAAGTATTTTATTGTTTATTTTAATGTTATTTGTTTAAGTTTTTGTGTCAGAATAGAGAGCAAGGTTAACCGATAAAGTTATGTTCTCATAGAACGAAAATACCAATGGGAGGTTTTGATATTTTTAAACTAATCCGATAAAGTGCACAAGGGGAGAGGCTGCACAGGATCTCCCCTTGTTGTTCATAGCTTCCCTTCAGAAAGAAAAACAGCAAAAAAAACCTGTGGCAACATGATGGTTGAAACATATTATTATATTCCATTTCAGTTCAGCAAGAACATAACAATAAGAACATAGAAAAAGACTGACAGGGACTTCTGACTTGATTCCATGAAACAAGCTAGTTGATGTGATTGACAATAACATGTCCTATCCAGATAGGAAAAAATGGAGTAAAGAAATCCAGTGTTGGTAACCGGGTTGAACTATGTCAGACAAGTCCAAGAAAAAGGTCTCAAAAATGTTATGTTACACCAAATTTTATAACGTCATAAGTATTTTCTATGCAGATGAAAAACGCTTAAGAGAAATATCCACTGAAGTGTTCCTCTATATTTTACGGTCTGAAGCCAAACGCAACAAGGCGATTAGTTTATGAATATGCTCAAACGAATTCTAGAACTCATGCAAATTTATAATTTAGATAAGGTAAAATTTAATCTTTTTTGAACCACTCATCTTATTTTAAATTCTTTTTTGTAGACTGGTGTAACGACGGTACAACGAGTTCCTGAAATGTTTGGAAAGAAGCCACTTGTGAAAGAGGTGAATTGATTACGCAAGTAGGAATAATCTCTTCCAGCGGTACAGCGTTGTCGCCAATTTGAGTATTTCCGTTTTCCCGCATACGCTATGACGCCAAGAGAATGATGCGAGGTGTTTCGGGATGTGGTGCTCTGGGATTTGCTTGTGATATGTTAACAAGCTTGGGTTAGAACCCCTGCACCAACAAACAAACAGAATCAGATGCACCGAAATAATGCCATTTTATCGAAACATCTTCAAAGAAGAAGACTTTTCCTCCTCTCACGTAATGGATCAACCGGCTCCCACCATCTATAATAATTATTCATATCCAGAGCCGCAGCTAACTATCCACATCAAAAAGGCAACCTAGAGCTTCAACCATCAACATCAAAAAACTATCCTGCGCCATAGATGGTAGATGCATGATTGCCACTGACACTCCCGAAGACAGCGATTAGGGATATGGAGGAGGATCGAATTGAATGTAAAGATAATTTATCAGAAGATTAATTAATTTTCATCAACGACGAGAAAAATTTTGATTACAAAGAACTTCCAGAAACATGTTCTATAACGACAAAGTTTACGGTAAAAGTAGTGTCAGAAATTAGGCAGCGAAAATTATAAGAAGAGTTGATTGATATGAAGTGAACTGCTTAGAACGTCACGTTGTATCAAAAAGAGATTCAGAGACCTGATTTATTTCAATTTAGATTTGACGTAATTTGGTTTGCAGTGATGATTTTTTTATTTGTGTTTTTATTTTTTTCTATTCTTTAAATTTTCAAGAATTCCATTCAATTTAATTAGAATGTAGGAATTTATATCTTTTATCTGTTCTAGTTATTTTTCAAAATAATTACTTGGCGAAATATAATATTTTACCTTCACCTTGAAATAAACTATTTTTATTAAACACTGAAAAAAAGGATCTCTTTAACGAAATGAATATGACTTTCAGTCAAAAGATTCGCGCTTTTGAATAGGTCCAAGAGCGATGTTTCTTGATCCAAAGCATTAACTCTCTTCCTATAGATTGTCAAAAATTAATTCAGGCAAGATTTTATTCTATTCGTTCAAAGCTATTACTCTCTTGGTTCAAAACCAACATGTAAGAGAGATTTTGAGGGAAGAGCCAAAATATCTCTTCGGAAGAGATTTGTCTTTTGAGTCAAACTTCATGTTGCTCCGTTGAAAGATTACTTGTTTTGATTGGAATCCGATCTTCACAGAAGTTACACGTTACCTGTATAGCAGCAAAAATTAATAATAAAACTTGTCAATTGTTTTGAGGACACTTTGGTGCCATTGACAATTCTGTACCTGAATAGCAAAGTGTAGGAAGTCAATAATTTTCTTGTTTCTCATTTCATCTTCTTCCCACTCCGCTATAGGCTACAAAGAAACGATTGCAAATAGCATCGAGTGTCCATCACCAAACAATTAACTAGGCACATTTAATATTTTTAGTTGATAAAAAACAGACAACTTGTAATTTCTGGTGAAGATCGATATACTTATATTGGATAGTTTTTGAAAATTAAGTAACTATTGCAATTCAACTTCATTTCAATAAAATATTTATCCCGACCGGCAGATTTAGATTTTTTTTCGCACAAACGACCCATTTACGGAACGAAACTCAGAAGAGTACTGGCACGGCGAGGCCGCTTTCGTCAATCGTTCACCTGCACTTATTTCCCATAATTCCCTTCGCGTTGTATTTTGGTTCTGAATAACAAGATTGTCAGGCAATTGGAATAACTGTAATGTCTCTTGAACGAATAGCTTCCCTATCTATAATTTCCGTAGAGAGAAGATAAATTGAACTTGGTTGAAGAAAGTAACAGTCAAGAGAATATTTGGATTTTTTCAAGAGAACTATTTTACTTGAACTCAGAACATTTCTCTCCGTGCAATAGATATTCTTTTATAAGAAAATATTTTCTCTTGTCGCTAATAATTCCTTATCAAGAGAGTTGAGTACTTTGATTCAAGACTAGCATTTTTTTCAGTGAATGCACCATATTTTTGCTCATGTCCAAAATCTCCCCTATTTTGCTTCAATGTCTCCCTTCTGATGGAGAGGTATTGAACTCAAGCAAGGCAACATACAGGATTATTTTTAAAGAAAACGCTTTACAGAATTGGTTCTCTAATACATCATTTTAGTAACCTATAGTTGAGGTTATCTAACTGAAAATGTAGGCTTAATTATATTAACACTTTCTCAAAAAATGGCCTTATGTAAAAATTGTCGAGATCTTACCCACCCTCCCATGCCTTACAACCCTTTCAAAAAGATAAGGTTTTGTTACAATGCGATCCTGCAAGGGAAGATATTTGGATAGAGGGGACCAGGAAAAAGAAGAATATCGTGACGGAAAAATCTCAGAACATTGTTTGATAAAAGCTCGCCACAACTCTTCCAATTAAATAATTTCACTATTTGAATTTACTCAGATATTTTACACATTCTGGCAACTCGGCTTTCTGTTTCATAACCCTGAAATTTGAAAAATATTTTGTCATCAAATGTCATTATTATACGAGGGTCAACCTGTCAAATTTCCATGGCACGCCACTACGCCAATAATAAGTGAAAAGCATATATTTTTTGCATTATTTGCTTAAAATCTGACATATCGTTTGATTTGATTGAGTTTGTGTCTTTAAACATAAAATTAACTCAAAATATATGCTTAAAAAAAAATCAGAAAAAAAAACTAAATATTAGCAAATGGGATCTTTGCCCCAATTAGTGGGACAAATATCCGCTAGAGTATCTTTGCCCCTTTTAAATAAACATTATTTTAAATAAATAAAAAACAAAAACTAATAAAGTGAAAAACATTTATTTTAGTAAAGAAAGCTGAAAAAATCTTTGGGAATTTTAGTAAAGAAACTTAAAAAAATCTTTGGGAATTCATAAGTAACACACATTTAAAGCATTTAAACGTAGAATGCCCTGCTAGAAACTAAAACTAATCAAGTTATTCTAGAAAGTTATAAAAAAAACGAATGCAAGGTTAAATCACTTAGATCGGTGGAAAAACTCACAAAGTCCTTGAATCTTGCAGAACTACCTTGCAATGGTTTTGAAAGTTTCCTAACAATGTTAGCTTTATTGACATAGAATTCCTTATCGGTTTTCGAAAAACGCATGGTATTGAGTGCCCTTTTGTAAAAAAATCCATGGAGACCATCATAATCTGTAGCCGTTATCTGGAAGACATAAAGACGGAATAAATATTTTGTTTTCCCATGAAGTTTAACCACAGCAAATTCCCCAGCACTTAGCCCATATAAGCCGGTATTATTTTCGGAATCACTTTCGAAATCCATATTATCACTGCTGCTATCATGAAGGGATATTTCCGATTCTGAGTCAGACGAGGATTGATTTTGATTCTCTTTCTTTTTCCCAAAAATATTTCTTATCGTTTTTTTATTTTTTCTGATACTTTCCTTCCTTTTTTTTCCATTTTTTTTGTTTCTCCTCTTCTATCTTTTCCAGTTCCTCTTTGTTTGGGGTTGACGTAAGCAGTGTAGACTTCAAACCTTTTCTTGTTCACTTCCTCTTTTTGGTAAGTATTGGCAAAGGAATAATATCTGAAGGTAGTGTTGCAGATAACTGTTCAGGAATTTCCTCTGCAATTGCTTTTGAACATCCAACGTCTTGGGATTCGCCTACTCCTGAACATCCAGTTCTTTGAGAATCCTGAGTATTTGAAGCATCACTTACATTCATGATCTCAGAATTGTCATCATAATTTATTTCATCGTTTATGTGAGGTCCTGCCTCTACCTCAAAAACAACTCTTCTATGCATGTCTTCATCATTTTCATCTGCATCATCCATTTCTTGTTCCGTAACTGAAGCAGGTAGAAAATCTTCATCGGTGAAAATATTCTCATCCAATGGGTAAATTCCAGTCATTTTAAAACCGTTAACGGCTTTTTCGATAATAGCAGTTTGCCTGCTTGAATAAACCAGCTGATGTTTTTTTTATTGGCAAATTGAAAGGCCAGAGAACGGAGAGATTTCAGAGTGAGTCCATAAAATCGCAAGTCTAATGCCTTACAATGATCCACTATTTGTTTCTCCTGTTCTGAAGTGAATACAGCACGAAACCGCCCCAAAGAACTCACACCGCTACCAGATTTAAGCCTCTTCCGAATAGTTGACTCATCATAGCCAAGTGTTCGTCCTATTTCCCTTATTGATAGGCCTCTGTCACGCATCTCCCCAACTTGTCGTAACACATCTTCAGTTAATGGTTTCAGACTTTTTTTCTTTTATATGTCCTAAAACAAAAATAATTTGTCATTATGAGTACCTACCACCAGCAATTATTTTCCAGACCAGAATATACATACAATGGGGTAAACATCCGCAGTAGAGGGGGCAAACGTCCGCGCCGGACCGTTGCCCCATCTGAAATGCGGACTTTCACCCCAAAATGCATATTTGTTTTTGGCAAAAATCTACTAAAATAAAATAACCTCAATTTAATATGTTTTATGTTAGAAATGTTCTCTGATAACCGGGCTTTTCGTAGGACGTCAAAGACTCGTTATCAAACAGTCTAGGGATTTATAAGCTCTATAAAGGTATTCAAAAAAATTACATTGGGAGAAAAAAATGCAAACTTACCTCATTATTGAACTTCGTTGACCAGTCAGAAACAACTACTCCGAGGGCAAATACCCCTACCGGCGTTGAACTACACTGATTGGTCTGAGCTTTCGTTGGCAATAGAAATTGTTACCTCATTATTGTTAGAAAGATTTTTTCCAGCGTGAATACAGGGACACTACGGTCCCTGTTTGGGAATCGACCCACTGAGCAGTGGATTCAGACTTCCCGTGCCAATCCTTGACGCGTTTCGTTCTTGTTAGGACTCATCAGAAGGACATAGGCTGAAGCTCCCTGTTGAAGCAAATTGAACTTCGTTGACCAGTCAGAAACAACTACTCCGAGGGCAAATACCCCTACCGGCGTTAAACTACACTGATTGTTCTGAGCTCTCGTTGGCAATGAAAATTGTTAGAAAGATTTTTTCAGGTAATGACCAACGTGCATACAGGGACACACTTACCTCATTATTGTTTTTATAAAACACCACACGTGTGTGTTCAGTTCGTGATTGAGCGCATCATACTTTGGTTGGTTTAATATAACCATAGATTCTTGAGTTAGAAGCCTGCGGACTTTTACCCCGTGCGGACTTTTGCCCCCGATTACCCTAGGCATACCCGTTGGTTTCATGATATTTTTTGGTGTTTCGTAGGTCCATCGAGTGTACGCCACTAGTATTTTCCTGTTTCTGACTAACCCCTCAACCTTTCCATGTTAGTATGAATTCAATCCTATGTAAAGTTTTTGAATAATCATACAGTTTTGTATATTTTCGTATTTCTCCATTAGTAGGTCGATCGAGTGTACGCCACTGACATTTTCCTGTTTCTGACTAACCCCTAAACCATTCTATGTTAGTATGAATTCAATCCTATCCTATGTACAGTTTTTAAATAATCATACAGTTTTGTATATTTTCGTATGGTTCTCCATTCGTACGTCGATCGAGAATATGCCACTGATATTTTCCTGTTTCTGACTAACCCCTCAACCATTCCATGTTAGTATGAATTCAATCCTATGTACAATTTTTGAATAATCATACAGTTTTGTATATTTTCGTATGGTTCTTTATTTCGTAGGTCGATCGAGTGTACGCCACTGGTATTTTCCTGTATCTGACTAATCCCTCATTTATTTCTTTGCTAAATTTTCCTGGCATACCCGTTGGTTTCATGATATTTTTTGCTGTTTCTCTTATTGTTTTCGTTTCGTTATACCATTCTATGATCGTTGCCAGTCGGGAGGGAATGAGTCTAAGACGTCTACATCTTGGATTATGTGTCAGTATAAAGTCTATTTCATTTTTTGTCTCTCCATCCGGACTTGCTCATGTTCATTTTTGAACAATGTGTTCATCGCAAAGAGTTGTTCTCTTTCTATTAATGTTCCGAAAAATTCCTCGTTTCGGAGGAAAAAATCCTTTTACACACCAAAGACGCCTTTCGGTCACACGTCGCAGCTTAATTTTTTCCGACACATTAAGCCCAACTGTCCAATAGACCAACAATGGCATTTTAAGTGCACGAGTGGGCAGGTTTAAGTACCTTTAAATCCCGAATTTATAACAGACTGTGTACTCGGTATCTCTTTCAGTAGACCATCCTTGTATTAATACCCTTTTTGGGGCCTTTTAAAGCAAACATTTGAATGGGATCAATTTCGTTTGTGGGTTACCTACACCCATATTTATTTTGGTTGAAGGTTTTCTTTTTTTATTTGGGTGGCCTTTGAAGTCTGAGTAAACTCATAACAAGCACTTAATGGTCAGAAGATATCAGTTTGGGGCTGCAACTCTCAGCTTCAAATTCATCTCAGGTTGAATGATTTTTATCTAATCACGTCCTTCTCCTATGTATGATAAAAACAAATAACATTTTTCTTTGATTGGTTTTTTTTTCTAGTCGAGATAAACATATCTTATGTCAAGTCAATTTCACGTGTTAAAAGCTCAAACCGAGCAATATGTTTTGCATAATTTCGTAAATTTCTCTCCGACTGGCAAATGCGTGGAATATGGCTCGGTCACTAATTATCGACCATAAGTAATGCGGAGGTTATTAAGTTTTTGTTTCCATAAAGCCTATAAGTGCAACGTACGGATGTGCAATTGGCAGCAGGAATTTTCATTTAGAAAAGTTACCAAATGCAGGGGACATTTATTAAGTATGTTTTGTTATCTCATTGGGGTACATCAAGGAGTAACAAACAGGCTGTAGATTTTTGGTTTTACGCTTGGTTGAATTTTTATAGATATCTCTGGGTTTCGTAATGATATCAAGCAGGATGAAAAAATAGCAGTATTTTTTTGATGTTGTATTAGCATTTCTGCTTCTTGCCTGGTCAACGTCGATGTTAATGTTTGGAATTTGGTATTAGCAAGAACGCCATCTATCGGAAAGCGATGTGAAACTGTTGGTCCAATGTATCAGTGATGTGATGCACGATAAAGATACGTACCATCGACAAAGATGAGTCCGGCAAAATTTCTACATGAGGTGTGACAAAGTTCTATCCCAAAGATGATTTCAACAATCACATTATATTATATTATTGCGATTTCTGAGCACTTGCAGTAAATGTTAATACAGGCCCTTAGATTTTTTTCATATGGAAACGCTTGAGAATATCTCGGTTTTCATCGACTCTACGACAAAAATACATCTGGTCAAAAGGAAAGCTATAGAAATTCTCTGCAAAATCTTCATGTGGTTTCTCCGGCAAGCCTAATTGACCACTGACATTTAGTAAAATGTTGTCAAATTAATAATTTTCCTCTTCACAGTTTTCTCCTTCTATAAATTCATCAATTCATTATTCGAGGGCTGAGTTTCACACAACCGATATCACAATATAAAGATTTTTCTCTTGACAAAGCTTTGAATTATGTACGCCACTGTGAAATTTTCTCAAGAACTAACAAAAGTTAATTAGTAAACTAATGCGTATGGAAATGCCAACAATAATGCAAAATTTTGCCGGTCAGCCATATAACAGTAATTAAACATAGACTGCCCGAAGCAACAGTTATGAACAATATGTCTAGGCCATAAAATCGAAATATGCGCCCGAAGAACCAATAGAAATTTCTAGAGAAGATGATGCTCCCACACCCAAATCGCCGATGCTTTATGACTTAGAGCTGCGCTAGTTCAGTTTCGCATCGATAACGTTCAACATTTTAATTTTCTTACAATTTTGATAACCAGATCCGCACATGATAGGCAACAAAATCGAGAACAGGGTGCGGTATTTTTGCGTGACCCCGTGTCTATAAAGGCCCCTCGACTTGATCTTTAACATCGGCTCTAATAAATCCTCGGCAAAACAATAGTTGTGAGTTATTCGCGGGCCTCTTTTAACTCCGTAACGAAGTCTGCACATAAATCAACTTAATCAGAACGGTCGCATCTCTAATACATAATTTTATCCGAAAACTCATCTTTTGCGCGTCTATAATATGCGGGAAAACACGAACTACAATTTAGAAAATATACTTATTTTTTTTATATGTATTATGTATCTATACTTGATAAAAGGGACATATCAAGCTTTCTCCAAGTAGCTAATGGATCACGGAATATTCAAATTAAATTAAAATTTTATCATCAGTGAAGATATAATAATTCCGGACTACTGAAATGTAACAGTATCTATACAGACCAATAAATTTAAGGTTTAAGTAAAATTTTATCGATTATAAGAGCGGTAATCTTTTAAACTAGACCCTTAGATTTGTTTAGAAATGGCTTCATTATGATGAGGACCAGTGGGAAATATGACAGTATAGGTGTAAACTCGAAAGAATAATCTTAGCAGACACCTATAAAAAGTTTTGTTAATTGACTTGCTACTGTTAATAGCCATCTGAATGTCGTTTACATATAAATTGTAACATTTAACTAGGAAAGTTCGTGGACTTTTTGTAAGATTAATGAACTATAGATTTGTAGGGTTTTTAGTTTTCACGCAAATAGTCATCACAACATCAGCCTTGTTAAGAGATCATGGTAGGTACATCCATCTTATTGCCATCATATTTTTATCTTTTCCGCTGTTTATCTAACAACCTTCATGACGACTTCGCACTTCAAAATTAGGAGTTGCAGATCACTGGGAAGCAATACCTCGTTTCGTTCTGAAAGATTAACAAGGGATCTGCTGGCGTTCGTCAGTCATATTTGGAACTCCACTCCCGAAAACCATGACGAATCCAGAATAGTAGCATTGGACATTTCCAAGGCTTTTGATCCGGTAGGACACAAAAGTCTCCCCAGCAAACTTCCATCGTATTCTGC